AAATAAAACAGATGCGAAATTAAATGTTTGTACAGTAAATTAATAATGACACAGTCCCTGTTTGTATTATAGACACAAGATATTATATGAGCTGATGTGTGGTGTATGTTTGAAGTTTAAACTTGATTGGTTCATCATGTATAAGTTATGACTCTGTGGAACTGCATTTGTTGAAAGCAGATGATGTCTAGTCAGCTAATTGGGATTTGATTGCGAGAAAATGTATGTGCATTTGTCTGATATGATGTGTGATATATGTGTAAAGTTTTAACTTGATCGGTTCAAATGAGATATATGTTGATTTTATGGATCAGGAACTGCATTTTTTTTATCAAAATGGCCACTGGTCAGACATTTTGAGCTTGATTTAAAAAATAAAATGTGCATCAAGGCACCATTATGTGTAATGTACTTACCAAGTTTAAATAGAATCTGTTCATGTACAACTGAGATCCAGTTCCAAAATGGTCAAAATGTGTTTTTTTGATATATTTATGACCTTAAAATGGCCGTCGTTCAGCCATATTGAATCAACTCATAAAACAAGTGCATGTACATATACACATGTATCCTATATAATGTCTGATGTACCTGTGGAGTTTGAACTTAATAAATCCAGTATGTGTGAGATGTGGCTTGATATGGATGGACGCACTGATGCACATATGTAAGGTAGGCAGGTAAATCAAGTCCCTGTAACTTAGTCTAAAACGTCACCGAAATGGGGACTAATAATCAGCTGAAACCATACCCGGTGATACCCCTTAGAAAACATGCACAAATACTGGTATATATATGTACCCCAGGAATCTGTTCCAAGTAAACCTAGAATTCAAAATGTATCCAAGTATTTGAAGACTAACCTTTTTCCTTTTTTTTGAATGATGGAAATGGGAAAGGATGTCCTTTTGGTCTAAAATTTTGTGAAAAAGAAATATTGAAAATGTATTTTAAATAGCAAAATGTAATAAATGTGTATTTTAGTTTATACGCACTTCTATTGGGTATGCAATTCTTATGTAGCAAATACTCTATTAAAAATGTTGTGTATGCCCTGAAGGCTTTGACCTTTGATCTGAAAAAAGTTGTTCTTTTCTCTCATGAATGAATTCTTTCCTTGTTCATTTGTTTTCTATTGTTTGTGTTGACCTTTGACCTACACATATTTACAATGTTTAGTATCCTTTATATTGTATTAATACTTTGAGTGTCATTTATTTTTTTGGCCAAATTTTGGTGCAGCATTTTGTCTGTTTGTTTTATGTATTTTTCTAGAATTTCTATTTTTTTGATAATTTTGGACCAATAAGAATTTTAGGGAAAAAAATTATATGGGTTTAAAATTTGTGAATAATGCAAAAGTAGATTCTGGCATTCAAAGAGTTAAACCATAATTATAGGCATGCACAATATTTCAACAACTACATTTTGTAGGTCATGTCACTGTCCGAAAATGTGTGTAAGCATGAATTATGTTTCTTTTTTTGGAATTTTTCATCACAAGTAAATTCAATTGCTCGTCCAACTTTCTGGACCAAGGTTGTAGAATCTACATAGGGTAGTTCGTGGCGTAAGTGGAGCATGTCAAAGTCAAAATAGTCAGGGCTGGAGTATCACCATGCTGTGAACAGTCTGGTTCAAATTGGCTAATTTATATATACTACATAACTATAAAAATTAATATGCTTAAAATGTTATGTAAAATGGAGGACAAAAAACACTGTTAATAAATATTACGTTTTATTTTTGTTCTGTCCAGTATGGCATATGTAGTGAACTCTAGTGAACCATGTATTCTACCTGTTCCCCCTATAGTTAATATGGAACCTCCTGATTTGTTTCTATTTATTGATTCTGCAGATGTTAAACTAACACAGCATGCAGAAGATAGGGGCAATCCATTTAAAAGACAGTCTATGCTGAGAGTGTCTCTTTCTGAAAAGGCAACGTACGTGAACCAGGAAGGACAACCTGTTCGTAAGAGGACAATTGTCGGATCAACGTTTCAGTTGCCAAAGAAAGGTCCTTCTGTTCCTTTTCTAGGTAAGCAGGAAGTAATCTCGAAACAATAGATTTTATCACAGTTCCTTCATGGTGTGTCATTGCTTGTACTTGTACTTATACTAGTATTTGTGTGTTTTGACTAAATTTACATGTACAGGGACGAGGGATAGTATGATTTCACCAGGAACCAGGAAGTATACTTACTTTTGTAACAAAAATAGACACAAAATGTCTTTGTGAATTCTTTTTGTGCCAAAACTGATGCAAGCTGGTGATTAAAGCATTAGTGATTTGAATTGTTGTGTTTGGAATGTTTTAAGAAAGTTTTCAATAAATTAGCTGTCATTTTTTCTGCAAGAATGAGTGCAGTTGCAAACTTGTTGTCGCTTCTGAGAAAGAATTAAATTACCGATAGGATCGAGTTACATAGTTAACAAACAAAGTTACCTGACACTATATATAGCAGTTGATTGCATGTACATGTATTGGTTGGTCTGGTTTGGGGGGGGGGGGGCAATCATTCCTCCATATTTCACCCACATGTAGGTGTGACAGCTACATGTAGGTGTGTATCTTTCAGTCTGGCTATTCTCGCCTGTGTACTGACATCATTACTTTTCATGTTTCACAAGGAAGTCTATGGGGATTTATTTTAATTATATCATTTGCCTTTAATACTAATGTTTGCGAAGATTTACCTGAAATGACTTTGACCAACATTTTGTTTCTGACGCTTGCTTCTGATAAACCATACTGTAGAATACTTTATTTTCGCTTGGAATTTATTTTCGCTATTTTCGATGAAGTTATGATTCTGTGAAAATAAAATCCAGCGAATATACTTTTTTTCCTATATTTCACATTAAACTCATGAAAAATCAGTGAAAATGAATTCCAAGCAAAATGCCCAAAAAGCCTTTTCAGCGAAAATTAATTCCAGCGAAAATAAAGTATTCCACAGTATACTTTACGGTACATCATGAACATGTACATTTATGTGGGGTTTCATATAGAATGGGAACAGGGTAACTGGGTTAAAAAACAATACCATCTAATGATGACCTTATAGTATGATGTATATGTCTGAATGCGAAGTTAAATATAAACCACTGTGACATGTGAACGGAATGAAGGTTTAACATACTGATATGGAATATTTATAATAATAATATTTTTTATTTGCTGTTCCCAAGGATCGTTGTAAAGGATTTAAGCCGTTTCACCACCAGACTCTCTTGTTCAAAGTTTTCTGCATGTTTGTTTATATATTTTTCAATATTTCTAAAAATTAATTCTAACTTTGGAGCCAACAGACAAAATTTGAGTCAATTTTCAGTTTCTACTCAAAAAAATTGAATATTTTTTAAGGAAAATGCAGACTATGAGCAGGACAATTTTGTGATTTTTTGATGAAAAGACACTGGTGGTGAAAAGGTTAGAGCAATCAGTTTGGTTACATTGAAAAAATACTCCCACAATAAATACATTTATCATACATTGACTATGGTTAACAATTCAACCACGATGTACTTTATGTGGTCATACAACAATTTATGACCACTGATTAATTAAAAACTTTATATTT